GCTTGGTACCTCTCATTCTGGCTCTGCCCCTCTGGAAGATCCTCTCTGTATCCTCATCCCCTGATGGGTGGTGGCAATGTGTGCCCTGAGCCCTATACTAAGGTGAGTGGTTTATTTCAGTGTTCTCAGCTTTTCCCCAGCTCAGTCCTCCCTCCTTCTCTGCAGCTTGGTCCTGGTTTCTTCTTGCCGACGTCTCCAAGCAGCAATGATGGCTTCATCGTCCATTTCTTCCTCTTCCTCTCTGTCAGTGCTTCTTCGATACTGGGACTGCCGTCCAGATGCAAACCTCCCTTCTTCTCTGTTTTCCGTCCTCTCTTTCTCTCCCTCTTCTTCAGACCTCATAAAGCTCTGGGTGAATTTCCTCTTGGCTCCAAATTCAGAGAAGTCTGACTTGGATGACTCTTCCACATCTTCCCAGTCTCTGGACCTGGCCCAATTTGGTTGCTGTGACTCTGGGGACTCTTCCCTTTCTGAGGGCTCTGGGGTCCGGCGAAAGAAGTAGGGCTCTGGGCTGCCCTCCTCTCGGGAACTTGAGGTCTCGCTGTACGTGGACCTGGAGAACTTGTGCATCTCTCTGCCCTCCCTGGTGGAGGAAGACGAGAACCGTGAAGTGCTTCTTATAGAGTTGCCATTTGCCTCGTGGTAGGAGGAGGTGTCCTGTTCCTCTGACTGGGATTTGGAAAACTTGTAACTGGAGGATTTAGACTCTGTCTCCCTGAGCAGGGATGATCTGGTGTACTTCCCCCTGGAACTTCCAGACCAGTCACTTTGGAAAGGAGGTTTTTCCTCTGTCCTGAGGCCACTGAGCCACTTATTAATACTGCTATCCATCTCTTTGCCAACTCTGCTGCCACTTGCGTAGTGATCACAGACAGCCAGGGAGGAGGATGTGTCTGTTTCAGGTTTCTGGGAACTACTGCGGGAAGAATACCGGAAGCTCCCTATGGCGCTGTCAGTGTCCTCATCCCCATCACCCATACCATCATCCTCATCTTCCTTGACCTTCTTCTTCTTGAAGAGGGAGCTGCGTTTGTTGTCTGAGGCCAGCTTTTCCATTTTGTACTCAGACATCTTCTCCCTAAGCTCCATCTGCATCTCCTTTTCCTTCCGGCCAAGTTCCTTTAGGTCCACATTGTCAGCAAAGAGGCTGTAGATGGGCTTGCTGGTCCCCCTCACTTTGCTCCTGGAACATTCAGGGGGCGAGCTCAGTGTGGTGTTGCAGGACAGCACAGACTGCATGTCAGAGCTGAGTCTTGCCTGGCTCTGAGGCAACAGGCAGCCACCCAAGGAGGAGCTGCTCTGTCCACTGAGCATGGAGACTTGGTCATCCCCCAGGCAACTGGCCGCTGGTACTGCCTTCATGCTTGCAACAGACGGGGAGCGGGACAACAGCAGCATTTCATTTTGCTTCTGAGCAAGGGTCTCGTTGACTACATTGGCAATCCAGTTCTGGATACTGGCAATGGAAATGGTGTCTCCAGGCCCCACTGGCAGGTTAGGCAGGGGTGTGATGGGATTGGAGGTTGAACACCCTGCTATGTTGCTTGCAGCCTGAGACAGGTGGGAGCGGTGGCTCTGGGTGCTCAGTACTGACGCCGTGTCCCCATCAGCACTGACTGAGGGGGCTGCAGACCAGAACGCAGACAGGGGAATGCTCCCGCTGGCCGTGGAGCTGTCCGCCTCCCAGCTTGCCATAGACTGGCTCTCCTCCAGCGTCTGCCGGCTTCTCTCCAGCAGCTCCAGCCTCCGTTGCCTCTTCTTAGCCAAGGCCGAGTCCTCCCCCTTGCTGAGCTCCACCACCTCCTCCCTGTTCTCACTGCCCACCTTCTTCTGGTGTTTCAGCTTCCAGGCCTGGTAGGCTGTCAGGCTGATGTCGGAGGGGTTCTTCTTCTCCCCCACTGGCTCCTCTGCACCGGGCTCACTGCTGCTGTCTCCTGCTTCCAAGTCTTTCTTGTGAAATCCAAACTGGATTCTCTTGATCTTCCATCTTTCCAGGGCAGTGAGCTTGTCCTTGTTCCTGCTGCAGAAGTTGTAGAAGGAGCTGGCCTCAGAGCCCAAGCTCTCCTCGTCATCCTCCCGCACCCTGCTCCCTGCCTCTGAGCTCCTGTCTGCCGCCTCCTCTCTCTTGCTCTTAGCATGGTACCTCCGGGAAGCCTCCTTCTCAATCTCCAGCAGCCTCTCGTTCCACGCGTCCCAGGTGCTATCCGAGGACATCGAGTCTGAGCGGCGCCTCCCGCTGTGGTCTGGCCGGTTCAGCTCCAGCTGCTGCTTCAGGACCCAGATGTCGTGGCTACTCACGCTCTCCCAGGCGCTGCTCTCGCTCAGGGTGCGCCGCCGCCTCCCTACGGAGGAGCCAGCGTCGCTCTCCTCCTCCTCTTCCTCCTCCCTTCCCCACCTCCGGTGCCCTTCTGCTTGGTACCTCTCGTTTCGGCTCTGCCACTCCTGGATGATTCTCTCCACGTCCTCGTCCTCGTCCTCGTCCTCGAGCTGTTCCCCACCCTGGCCAGAGGAGGCTGAGCGCCGGCCACCTCCACCCTGGGGGACCTTGCCCGAGGGGAGGCCCTGCCCCTTCTTCCACTCCTCGTACAGTTTCTCCTCCTCCTCGTTGTCAATGAGGGTGAGGGGCTTGGAGGCCTGGCTGGCCTTCCCCAGGGAGGAGCCACTCAGGTGGCTGGCGCTGTCGTCCTCCTCCTCCACCGTCAGGGCGTGCACTCTGGCCCCGAGCGTGCTCCCCATGCCCTCGCCCTCCTCAGCCTCAGCTGATTCCCCCTCCCTGCCGTAGTCCTCTTCTCTCTCCTCCATCAGCTTCTCGTTGAGCTCCCGCAGCTGCTTCAGGAAGCCGTCGTTGGGGTAGATGGCCCGCTTCTTACGCACAGTCATCAACGCCTCCAGGATGGCCATATTGTGGAAGATCATCAGGTAGGCGACCACTAGAACTGCTGACCGGCTGATGCCCATTTCGCTGCTGACCAGGACTTTCCCTGAAAAGAAAACACAAGAGAAAATGATGTAATGACAGTGGCTTCCTTGTAGTGTTCTTGTTTGTTTTCTTTGGTAAGTGCGGTTTTAATGTGCTGCACTTAAGGTGTTTACTTTGCCTCTGAAGTTCATCGCGGCTCAAGACACAGGAGGGCTCAGCATCACTGACCCCATATTACAGATGGGGTCACCACATCTGTATGACACCACAGTCCCCACTGGCCCTGTATTATAAACACTGGATTGCATTTCTACTTTCTTCTCACAAACTGAGCATCAGAGGGAGGAGAAATAGAAGAACAGGGGGAAGGGTGATAAAGCAGAAAAGGAATTAGAGGCTAAGATAGATGAATCACAGAGAAATAGAGTCTCGTGTTGGGAAGCATCATAAGTCACATCCTAAACTTGAGAATTCCCTTTACAACATCCCTGATGCTGGATCACCTGTCATACCTGTCATCCAGCCACTGCTGAGTGCTTCCAGTGACGGGGAGTTCATTAGCTCACATGGGCACATAGACACAACTCACTGCATTTTTGGGTCACTCTAGTGCTTCAAAATTTCTTTCATATGTTAGGGAAAAGTATAAATTTCTGTAACAAGCATCTAATATTCCTGCTCTGACATTATAAAGTCAACAATGAATACATTGTATGAAACAGGGCTTTTATACAAAAATCCTTAAGAAGATTGCTATCATATTCTTCCATATATATATATCATATCTTCCATATATCATATTCATATTCATAGCATATCCACATATCATATTCATACTCATATCATATCCATATATCATATTCATATTCATAATCATATATCATAGTCATATTCATATATATCATATTCTTCCATGTATATAATATATGATATATATCATATTTTTCCATGTATATCATATATATGATGTATATATATCATATTCTTCCATATATATTTTATATATATATAAAATCTTTTCCTGGTTATTTTGAGTCCTTCAAACATTATTTGAACGTCTTCTCATGTTCTCTTACTATTCTAGCTACTTTCCTCCAGGTCAAAACTTGAATTTATCAGGATTTTTTTTTTTTTCTTTTTTTTTAGGAGTTTGTACTCAGGATGGAGCAAGATATTTCAGGTTTGGACTGACTCACTCACACACAGTAGAGTGGGCCCTTCCCCACCCTTGTTTGGGTCATTGGGGCTTTACTGATGCCATATAAGCTTGCAATATGGGTAGATATGCCACACAGTGAACTCAAGTTATCTTTTACATCCATCAACTGAAACTTGTAAAACAGTTTTTAAAAATTGCAATTAAGTCATGTTCCTTTTAATGTGCAGTCATTTTTAAACTTAAGGATAATTTCACAAATTCCTACTAACATCTTTTGGTGGGTTCAACAGATCAGTTATCTGCTTCTAGCCTCCCTTTCGGCTTTGCATCCTTCATGAACGTGACAAATATGCCTCCTATGCCTTCATCATAATAGCTGTTTAAAATGCAGACTGGGACCACTGGAGACCTTCTCCCTGCTCTCATCAATCTAACTTGCCAACAGTCTTTGGGGATGTTTGCTAAATCAGTTAAAAATCCTCTCTAACAATATGAGATGGGAGGTGACTTCTTATTATATCTTTGCAGCAGTTAAGGTCATGTCTTTGTCACACAGGAGGTCAGAGACAGAAAATTCAGGGGACTTGAGGCCCAGTAATGATGAAAGGTGTTACTGCCAAGAGCCAGCAGCCACTAGAGGGAGGTAAATCAGCAGAGTCAAAGCCACAGGCCAGGGTGTGGTGGCTCATGTGTGTAATCCCAGCACTTTGGGAGGACAAGTTGGAGGATCGCTTGAGGCCAGGAGTTTGAGACCGGCCTGGCAACATAGCGAAACCTCATCTCTGAAAAACAAAAACAAAAAACCATGGCAAGCGCCTGTAGTCTCAGCTACTGGGAGGCTGAGGTGGGAGGATCACGTGAGCCCAGGAGGTTGAGACTGCAGTGAGTGGTGATTGTCCCACTGCGTTCCAGCTCA